AACACCTCCCCCACCCAGTTCAACCGTGCAAATCCTGTCAGTTGACATCAGTCCTCCATCTGAAATGGAGGTTACCCGGGAAATAATTTACCTCAACCGGCAAAAAGCTTCCGGCCCCGATGGGCTGTCCCCATCGGTTTTTAAGGATGGAGGTCTAGTGTTGGTTTTAGAGCTTACAAAACTCATGGGCTCAGTGTGGGAGAGGGAAAAGGTTCCAACTGAATGGGAGTAAATCGATACCGCTATTTTCGCACGAGGATAGAATTAAATCTATCACGAAGTTGAATAGAAACGGAGAGAGAGGGCAATCCTGTCGAACACCACTTTCTGTGGTGAATTCGGGTGAAAAGGTGCCGTAAGCTCCGACTCGGCTTCGGCTATCAGTATAATGTGATTGTAAGAATTTATCAAGGAAGAATTCACTGTCGCATCTGACTCAACTCAATAGGCTTCGCTGATTAGAATACTTGTTGCGTATATCCACGGGCGCCTACGGCACTGAGCCTTAGCTACAGATTCCACTCCGTACTGGAGAAAACCACGTGGAGTTAAAACAAAAAATGTACAGATTGATTATATGGAGTCGGTATCTTTCAGGCTGTCGAAAAGACTTCGTGACTGACTGGCTGGAAACACTGAAGTTTGTGACAGCAACCGATAGCAGTAGCGTTCCTGTTGTTACTTCTTATCAGATCAGAATGCTTGAACTAGTGCGTATGCGCAGTTGAACCATGTATTCTGTGTGAACGATAAAGGTTCACTTCCTTTCCCCTTCCTCAAAGTATGCCCGATCCCTGACCACCTCACATACTCCTACTTACCTTGTGTGCTTTTGCGGGTTTTTATTGCACACCTTAGTGTGATGAACAGCAGACGGGGTGAACCTGGGGAGGACCTGCTGTTCAGTCATTGAAACCGGTAACCTAAGCCCCGAGTGACGAACCACATAAGACCCACTAGGTTAGGCGTGGTATCAAGCCGGACGACAGCGATCACTAAAGCTCGCTTCACTGTATTTCTACTATTCAATGATAATGGTCGATTGGAATTAGAGACTTCATCTCTTTTACATTTAGGAATTATTTTAATATTTGAACTCCCAAATGCATATGATGTGTTATTTGACCAAGACAACGCGATTCATTACATTTTAATGCTGGGAGCCGCTAGTTGCATGAACTCTATTTCTCTTTCAGCTTTAGATATCTTTTTAATTTTGAATACGTTGGCCATGCCGTTACTGTACCATATAATGGTTTCTTTTCCATTTCAGAAAGGATAGTTGGTTCCCTTTTGCCTACGATGCCCCATGGGGAAAAACGACTGTTGAAATATCCCATTCTACTGGCTCGGTGCGGTACGGAAGCTTCAACTTACGCCAAGTGTATAGTGGAACAGGAGGACGTGTACAAGTCTGTCTGTGAGAAGGAATTTCGTCTGTTAAAGCAGTGTCTTCAGAAGCGTGCAAGAGAATTGGGCACAAAACTCTAACTACTGAAAAGTAATGTCTAGTGAAAAGTCAAAGAACGCGGACATGGCTCATGTGAGCCTGTTCCCCTCACCACCTTGGCAATTGGTCAACCGACATCAGACCGGACCTGGTGCTTCCCAGGAACCACCTATTCGCCCCCCTACACCTCCTGGTCAAACTGTATATCGCATGTTCGGAAATTTGTACAATTTGGATGATGCTATCCTTCGCTCACTAGAGTCGCAAGGTGTTCGTCGTGTTTATCCACAGGTAGATTTTGCCGTTATGTAAGCTTCCGGTTGGCACATATGTGTATTTTCGAAATTTCGCTTGATGATGCTCATCATCGCCTGTTCCCTCGTTCCACACACTTCATCCTTTGTTTTTCTTAGATCCTTGCTACTTATGAGTAGTAACATTGTATGCTGCATTTTCTCAATTGTTCCGTTACCCAATCAGACGTACAATCGCAAACGCGAGTTGCGCAAAATCAATTTCTCCATTCTGGCCAATTACTTGGACCTGTTGGATATCATCACTCGCGATCCAAGTTCTCCAAAACGTACCGAACGTCTGGACAATTTGGCAATTCTGTTCATCAACATGCATCATTTGGTCAACGAGTATCGACAACACCAAGCTCGTGATTTGCTTCGAGAAATTTTGAGCTATCAGGTCGGTCGACAACAAAAAATACGTGGTAATTGCTTGGCTATTTTATGGACAACTATTTTGAATAAATCATCGCCTAATGACCAGTCAGGAAGTCACACCCGGAACATTTGACCATAAGTTTAAAACCCGTACTGTCTATCGAGATTGGGGCATAGTTTGCTTTCGATTGAGGTTTGTTATTCCGTTTTTCAGTCACATCAGCTTTGTTTTTCGTCCTCCAACAGGCCACTCCCTTTTTGTAATTCTTTTTTATCCCTAGGTTCTGCTTACATAGAAGGTGACTGCGGACGATGGAGGCCGCCCCATTAGTTTGGCCATAACTTTTTTAACGCGCACACTTACGTGATGAACAGCAAAATGGTCAAGCCTCATAGTCACATAGCCATTCGTTACACCGGGTAACCTTGGCCCCACATAAGAACCCATCAGTAGATGATGATCATGTTATTGACCCGGACGGGAGCAACACTCTCTAACGCCGTTTCGGTTGTCGTGGCAAGGTTCGAACCTTTTACAGGAACACTTGAAATGTCTCAAAAATAGCAACTCATACCGCCTAGCCACCACCTTTGTTATTCTGTCACTTTTATTGTTAAAAAATGAACGATAAAAGATTATATTGGTGTCGCTTCGTTGGTGCTACCGGTTATCCACAGATAAGTATCCTCTTACCGGCCAGTCAACGGTCCGGAATGTAGTCGTGATCAGCGGTGTATCACCATATGTGGGATAATGAAAAAGACTCGGTGATCGCAAACTGTTCCGTTTTTTTCTCAGCAAAAATGGCACCTAAATTCCCCTTACGTTCTTCCCACTGAACCACTTTAACTTTTGACATCTAACCTGCTTTTTTTACTCTAACCTTTTCGTTGATCAGCAGCTCTGTTGTCTTTCAACCCAATTTCTTATCAGTCTTATTTAGAGGTCTCCGATTCCCTACCTCGAGGCTGTGATGCACAAGTTTTTCTTACTTTGAAATCAGTTTTGCACCATTCAATAAATACATCTTCCCGTAAGCCAAACAGTTAGTACAATTTGTTCATTCGTAGCTGTTTAGGCACTTTTTACACTTTATAATGAAATATAGATAATGCACCCTTCAGTGATAATAGCCCTTATCGATTTCGACTCGAGGCTTCAGAAAATCGTAGTGGCAATAAATTTCATGATAAATACCTAATATCACTTCTCATATATTCTGGTACTGTATAATACAGGCCATCTGATGTTAGTTACTTTCTCTCTCTCTCTGTTAGCACCCAGAGCATATTTTCAATCTGCCTTATCTATTTCCCGCTTATTGACGGTGGCAGTTGAGTAATAATCGCTAGATTTCTTTAACCGAGTTTTCTGGGCTAAGATTAAAACCGAGATGGCTACTCATGTGATTTCAACTTTCGTATTACTTCTCTTGTTTTTCAGGTAAGCATCGCTTCACAGACTGTGGAAAAAGCAGAACTGTATACTACACGTGCGAATGATTTGTTACGTAATGCTGGTCAGGAGTTGATTGTACCCGGTCAACCTTCTGTAACTTTTAACGTTCCCGGAGTTTCTACAAACTGTGTGGATACGGTGCGAAGTGGTCTCGTCGAACTCGGTCCCACATTGGCGCCGCTGCTCCAGACTGTGCTAGACGAAACAATGGGCGGAGACCCAGCCTGTCGGCGTATTCAGGCCGCTCCCGGTTTGGGATCATCTTCACGCCTTCCGGGCAATCTGCTGGATCATCCGGGCTCCCAGTCTTCCCTAGACTGTTTCAATTCGGATGGAATCTTGGACGGTGTATGCGGAGATGATCCGGCCGATCATGTGGATCCCAGCTTGTGGCAGTTCCTTTCTGAATGTCAATTAGATGACGGTGCATCATACCCTGATCACTGTCCTGGATAATGTGAATAGTGTGAGGAGGTCGTCTGTTCCTTTCGAAACTAATCTGATATCGATGTACAGTCTAGTTCTTCTCTTATTCTCCTTGGTTTTTTTAGAAGCACCAGAATCATTGGATGTTTCCTACTGTTTTGTTGAGTGTCCCAGTTAATCATTTGTGTATTTCATGTGTGGTTTTTGTTCGTCATCTTTTATTGACCGAAATACACCATTTATGGATTGCTGTTGTGTTTGGATAGAAGTAAGACTAGATGCCAGTTCTTAAGCGCGCAGAGTTCGTGTGATTCGTTTTCTTGCTAGAGCGTTTCTACGTAAATACAATCTAAGAAATTCATAGCTCGCAGACAGACAGAACTAGATGTGGCTAGGTTAACTCTTCTGAATGCTGCCTATCTTCTGTTTCACACTTTATGTGTTGTAAACTGTTGAAGTGCAGAATCCCATTATCACGAGGAATTATTGTTTAGTGACGGAAACCGGCAATCTAAGCTCGGAGACTTGCAGTAGTCAGTAGCACAAGGCCCACAACAGAGTAAACGTGGTAACTAACCTCTCATTGCTCCTATAAACCGATCTTATAGATATCATAGATTGTGCATGTCCATTGGAGGCAGGGCTGAACAGGCTCCAGTGGTGCGGACTCGATGAAATCCCAGGAGTTTGTCGTCCATTTTTGCCATCACTAGGTCATGTTTGCAACTGGCCGCCCACACATCAATAAGAAGTTGGTTTGAGGCAGAGGTGAAGGAATATGGTTGTTCTATTACGTAGGATCTGGTCAAATTACAGTAGGCAGTAGTGTCGTATAAAGACTGACAACCAATGCGCTCTTGTTGTCAGACCAGAATGCTTGAAAAAGTATGTAAAGTTGCATTGTGTATTGACCCTAGAGGTAAGCTTTCCTCCAAATAGGTCCAATCTTTGTCCACCTTGGACCTTCTCACTTACCCTGTATGTGTTGTGACTTCGGCAGTGATCAGTCAAGTTCGCCTCATTATATTCCACAGTACGATGACGATGTTGATGATAGACTGACAATTGTGAACTGTTAGATCGGCGCTTAAATATCCCGTTGCTTGACATTCAGTTTAATTACTCGCAGTATGCACCCGTGTTTTGGGGTAGTAGGTTACTATAACGGCCAAACAGTCAGCGAAACTATACTCTGCCGAGTGCACCTTCAAGGGCAGAGGCAGTTGTGTGGTTAACATTAAAATCTGGTAATCGCTTCAGTGAATACGCGGACATTGACATCGAGATACCGCTAGAAAACGCATTTTGTGTTATCTTCTTAATATGGTGGAGTGCACATTTCGATCAGAGCAAACCACGACCGACCTGTTATTGTCGCTTAGCGTTTTACATCTTTTCTTTTTTACATAGTAAATATCGGACTCTGCTTCCGTTTGGCGAAGAATAAACTGCAACGGGTAGATAAATAATCCTCTCGGGTCTTTGGCAAGCATCACAATAAATGGTTTGGAGTGTCTTCTGCCAGTTGTATTGCAATCATTAGCAATCGAACTTTTTCGATATCTGTCCATTGAGAAGGTCCCTCCAAATTGATGAGTGGCATCTGTTACACTAATGACTAGACGCAAGATGCGCTACACCTGCAGTTTATAAGGTACGCCGAAAGCATGCAAAATCTCTCAATGCGAACGAATCGCGATCTTCAACAGTTTCAGCACTGTCACTCATGCGGCAAATCTACTGCGGAAACATCCGTAACGCCATTCATTTTTCCCCACCCCGGAGTAACCGCTGATCTGCCAAAATTTCTCTTCGATAGCATCTTGATGAATTCACTAGCATAGTCAGCAAAGTCTCATTCATAATCAAGCTGCAAGAGTTTATATCTCTGCCTGAAGAGCAACTGTTGACTATTGTTTTTTGCCATCCAATGTGCAATTCATAAAAAACAAATGCTAACAGAAACAGCGACTGTTATCTGAACTTTATCGAACTATTACTTTTCATTTCGAATCTGTTAATTTCTAGCCGGAGGGATGCCATTCCATTTCAACACAAGTCACGAATGAACAACGGCTATCAGTAAATAAAACGTTAAGATCCGCCTTAGGAGTCATTAGTGGCTGATCAGAGACACCTTCAGGAGGCTCTCATATTAAGCTTATGTCGCGTAGTAAATCAAGTACTCTCTGCGCTGTGGCTGTTTTGGTTTTGTAAAGGACAAGTACTGAAAATGTGCAATTCCGATTGTCTTCCACTCAGCAACCCGATGATGCTTTCAACTGAGGTCAAACAATTGGAATTTAGGAAAGCAGTACGTATTTGCCCGAAAAGAAGAAAATGTCAAAAAATCATTCAGTTTAAAATTTCATTTCCACGAACGGTAAGACGGACCAGACTGAATACATTTCTAACGGAATCGAAATCGCCCATGCAAATAAATGCCCGTTGTTCCCCGAGTCTGTCCAACTTCTCTGTCTTGAGATAAGCGGGTTCCATGTCGAATCCTGGGAGCTAACTCGAATCCGAGATCACTGTCAGCGTCGAGGTCGAGCAAATGCAGTTAAGTAACTAACGGAATGTTTCGGTGCGTATACTGAGAGAGCAAAAGCTGTGTTTTGTTTGCAGTCGAATAGGCCAGTCAATTAACCCATAATTGCGCCAACTAGATACCTGCCGCTTAAACAGCATTTCGTGACGAGGGTGAACAGAACTTAAACGAAATTAAGTGTTCCTCTTATGGCAAAATATCATCGATGAAGTGTTTGTTCAACGAAAATCGCATCGTATCATCATTCACTTACTTCTTAATCGGTGCGCCCTTGGAGAGTTACCGAGCGATTTCAATCTATTCGTTATCCCTCAGGATAAATCAATCTGACCACGTGACGTATCTGACAAGCACATTGCATTGATCAAAAAATTCCCAGTCGTGCCTTCCCACTGGTCCCTGTTTTCACTAATCCCACTTAACCCCGAACTGAGGAAACCCAGTCACTGAAAAGCAGCTGTAAATATTTAGCATCCAGTTGTTTTTGGGCGATTTCCTTGAGTTCCATTCCCGATTATTTGTGTCTATAACCTCGTATCTCCTCGTAAGTTTTCTTTGTGCGAGTCTGTGGCAAAATTCTCACGTGCTTTTCATCCTCACAAAACTGACCACTGATTATCCTTTCATGCATGATTACCCTAAGAATAGCAACAGAAACACTCGCAACGTTGTTGGTTGCGGCGGGGTAGGGGGATTGT